TTGTTTCCAGCCCACTGTTGGAATTTAGGAGATCATGGAGTAAACGCCTCAAAATACTTTTAAAAAACACCCAACAACCCGGCCAGTGTAGCTCAGTGGTTGAGCGCTGCCCAATGAACTAGGAGGTCACGGTTCGATTCCCGGTCAGGGCCCATGCCATGGTTGCTGGCTCGATCCCCAGTAGGGGGCGTGTAGGAGGCAGCCGGTCAGTGATTCTCGTCATTAATGTTTCTCTCTCTCTCTCTCTCTCTCTCTCTCTCTCTCCATCTCAATCAATCAATAAAATATATATATATATATATTTTTAAAAAGCTGGGATGGCTGTGCTGCTCCCAGCTGTTTGCAGAACGCACTGTCAATCCCTATGCAAGTACTCCTCTCGGGACTCCAAAGATGTTTACAGATTTTCATGCTCAAGAACTTGGAGTCAATGAAAGATGAGCAGGCACAGAAGGAGAGACACGTAAGAAACGGCAAACAAGAGGGAAGCCGAAAATAGACTCCACGGGGGGTTTAGGGAACGCACTTCTCCAGCAGCCAGCCAGGAGCTCTCCCGGTCACGGCGGCATCATTACAATATAAGCTATAGAAACCCAACAGTGGGCCGCAAACAAGAAAGAGAAAACAAATTCTAAAAGAGAAAAGGATGCTTCGTAACGGGCATTTAAGAGCCCTAAAGAGATCGTCGTAAACTAGAAGGCAGGTCAGAATAAAACAACCGACATGAAACACTGCGAAGATGAAGGACAGCGAGGGGTGATACCTAAGCAGAAGCGCAGACTGCGCCGTGCGGGGAAAGAGCCCAGCACGTGTATAATTGGAGCCGGGACAGACGAGGAAGGAAATGAGACAGCTAAAATCGGAAGCCCTAAGAGCGAAGGAAAATGTAAAGCTGATGAGAGACCTCCAATCAAAAATTCAAAAAACCCACGTGAACTCCAGTCGGGATGAATAAGAAAGTGATTTTTTAAAAAAAAACAACAACACTTGAAGCACATCAAGGTAATCAGCTGAAAATCAGACGAAAACGGAAAAACATCTTAAAAACCCCTGGAGCAAAAACACTCATTTTCTTCACAAGGGCAGTCATTGGGTTGAGAGCCAGAGCTAACTTCTCAGCCGAGAAGACGGAATTTAGGAGATCATGGAGTGAACTCCTCAAAGGACTTTAAAAAAAAAATAACCCACAGCCCAGCCAGTGTGGCTCAGTGGTTGAGCATCACCCAATGAACCAGGAGGTCGCGGTTCGATTCCCGGTCAGGGCACAGGCCCGGGTTGCGGGCTGTAGGAGGTAGGGGCCGTGCAGGAGGCAGCCGATCAGTGATTCTCTCTCATCATTGATGTTTCTATCTCTCGCTCCCCCTCTCCCTTCCTCTAAAAAAAATCAATAAAATATGGAAGTAAAAATTAAAGTTTGTTGTTTTTTTCACTATTTGCTATTCTCAATTCAATCTGGGCATGTCCAGTTACAAATGATATGATTTGCATTTTGAACAATAATCTCACAGTAGGATAATCATTCTTTGCTTTTCTGTTTATTGCAAGTCACTGTGGAAATGAGTGTCATTCATTGCCCAGTTATTGTTAATGTTTTATCTAAATTTGTTTTTGTATAATTTATTCCGTTCGAGTCCCGGCAGCCAAACAGAGTGAAAAGATGCCTAAATTCCTTGGGAGAAAACAGCAAATGAGGCGATAAATAGATGATAAATCATAATTCATTTATTTAAACAATGTTTAGCACATAATAATGTACACTTACAGGAAATTTGCCGTTGCAATAATTCGGGTTTAAAGTATTGTCAGTGAGCCCGGCTGGTGTGGCTCAGTGGTTGAGCGGCGACCTATGAACCCGGAGGTCACAGTCCGATTCCCCATCAGGGCACATGGCCGGGTTGCGGGCACGATCCCAGTAGGAGGCGTGCGGGAGGCAGCGGTTCGGTGATTCGCTCTCATCATGGATGTTTCTATCTCTCTCTCTTTCTCTCTTCTTTTCTGAAATCAATAAAAATATTTTTTTTTAAAAAAACAAATAAAAAAGGATTGTCACTTTGGGACTGAGTTTGATCTTAGGGACTAGGTTCACCTCTGAGGGTCTTGGCTTGACTCTTCCGGGCTAGGCTGGCCCCTAGGGTCTAGGCTGGCTCTTCGGAACGAGGGTCATGCCTTTGGGACCAGCTTCAGCTCTTAGGGTTAAGCTCGGCCCTTTGGGGTCACGCTTGGCTCTTCCGGGCGAGGCTCAGCCCTTCGGAGTGGGCTCAGCTCCGCTCTTGGGGGTGCGGCTTGGCTCTCTGAGGCTCACAGGTTGGGCTCTGAGGCTCGGAGGCAAGGCTAGACTCGCGGCCCATGGACACATCCCAGGCTTCCCGCTTGTGGGGGCAGTGGCGAGAAATAAAGTGATAAAAAATAAAAGTATCGTCACTGAGGCCCAGGCTGGTGTGGCTTGGTTGCTTGGATCATCATCTCATGCACCAAAAGGGTTCGATTCCTGGTCAGGGCTCATGCCCAGGTTTCGGGTTCGATCCCCAGTCAGGGTCTGTGTGGGAAGCAACCCATCGATGTTTCTCTCTCTTCCTCCCTCCTCTCTCTCTCTCTCCCTCTCTCCCTCTCTCTCAATTGATAACACTTTTAAAATAATAAAAGATAAAGCATTGTCTGTGCGGTAATCAGTAAGTCTGCCGCGGCATCCTATGTTCGTCTTTCACATCTCTGCGTTGTTCACGATCAAGGCAAAAATTACCGGGGAAGACCTTGACCCAGCGGAACCGTGTCCGTTGGGGGACGGTCAGTCCACTTCACTGCTGTGCAGAGCTGGCCACAGAGGGTTTCCAGTTCCTGGGAGGGACGCTCCGCTATGGGGAAGTTGTGCTTTTGTAAAAGAGAGAGCGCTTAACGCGTGTGAGCAGCAGCAGAAATGAGCACCCCCCGACCCCCCCCCCCCAAAGCCCCCATGCTCAACGGAGCAGAGCCACAGCGGAGCAGAGCCACAGCCTTATCTTCCAAGTTGTGGTCTGGGTGTAAATCACATTTCGGCAGATTGACTTAAGTGCGTGTTTAACTCTTCTACATAATTGGGTCCTTATCTTAAAAAAATGCATTCGGATCGGAACGTACGTCGTGGCTGGTTTCAGACAGAGAGAAGCCCTGAGGGAGTGGGGCTGTGCGTCCCCAGCTGCCGGCAGAATAGAGTTATTTCTTCCTCCGATGCTATAATTTTGCACGTACGCCTAAATAAAGATGTCCTCTTTTCAATCTTTCCCCACCACTATTTTTTTTTTTTTTTTGCTGGTGGGAAGAATGAGATGCCAATTTTTTTTCTCATATTCCTATTTTGCTTCTGAATACATTCTGTTAATTAATGTTCACGTTTAGAAGGACTCATTTGAATAAAGCCTCCGCCAGGCATCTTTTAGGTGCCTGGTTAATTCTAGAAAATTCCGTTTGCATGCATGAACTGTGCAAGGCGGTTTCCCTTGGAAATGTTACTGCTCGGAATCTTTCTTGTTATTATTATTATTTGTATTGATTTCAGAGAGGAAGGGAGAGGGAGAGAGAGAGAGAAACATCAATGATGAGAGGGGATCATGGATCGGCTGCCTCCTGCACGCCCCCTACGGGGGGATCCAGCCCGCAACCTGGGCATGTGCCCTTGACCGGAATCGAACCTGGGACCCTTCATTCCATAGGCCGACGCTCTATCCACTGAGCCACACCGGCCAGGGCCTCCTGTTTAATTTTTAAATAGAAGCGATGAGAACCAACACCTCTGTCTTGTTCCCGGGATGAGAGCCTCCTGTCTTTCACCGCCGCCTCGATGTGAGCCGTGGGTTTTCCTGGGTAGATGTCACTGGTCAGCTTGCGGAAGGGCACCTTCCGTTCCTCGCGGGCGGCCTGCGGTTGTCACGAAAGGGCACTTGTTGGCTCACTGTTCTTTTCCTGGGGCTCACGAGGCCCCCACGCTCGTTCTGTCCTTCTGGCCTATGGGCGGTGTGTTACCGGGGTTGGTGTTGATGTATGACACCCACGGTGTGTTCCTGCTCCGGCCTCAGGGATATTCTCACTGCCCTGCGGTGTCTCCCCAGGCCCTTTCCCTACATAACGGCGTCCTGTGTCATTTCCGAACGTGGGTGAATTTCCCCCCGTTGTGTCTCTGTTCGTCTCTACTTTCATTCCCGTGTGGTTGGAGAACATAAGTTTGGGTGGTTTCCATAATTTTAACTTTATTTGGGGTTTGTTCTGTGTGTCCTAGTACATGGCTCGTTCTGGGAGGTACTCTTTGTCCTGAAGGAGAATGTGTGTTCTTGCTATTGGTCAGGGGTGATCTCTACAGAGACCTGTTAGTTGAATGAACATCTGAAAATAATGTAGATTGAGCCCCGCTGGCTCAGTGGTTGAGCATCATCCCATGCACCAGGAGGTTGCCGGTTCGATTCCTGGTCAGGACACATGCCCGGGTTGCGGGCTCGATCCCCAGTGTGGAGCGTGCAGGAGGCAGCCGATCCACGATTCTCCCTCATCATTGCTGTTTCTCTCTCTCTCTGCCTCTCCCTTCCTCTCTCGGAAATCAATTTTTTAAAAAAATATATCTATTATTTTTTAAAAAGATAAATAAATCTGTCTTCCCGGAGACCTGGATGGTCTCATTCTGGGGAACAGTGGACGGTGTGATGGGTGGGTCTGGGGCAGACAGTTAGCTCTCCATGTCTGGGAGCTGGTGAGACCCTGACCCCCCCGTCTTGGGGGTCAACGACAGCTTGGCTCTCGGCGGGGAAAGAAATAAGACAGCAAGACAGCGCCTGTGTGCTGTGTCCACACAGCTGATGGCCAGGCCAGTGGCCTTTGCCCATTCATTTTTGGGGTGTCTGTGTGTTCAGGAAAATTCAGAGAGCAAGGAGACCCTAAGATTTTAGTACGTGAAGTGGTCAGAATGACACGTTTGCCTGGGATGCTTTGTAAAACCCACATCTTACGGTGTGCTCACACTTGCTCCGTGTGTTTAGATGGCTACCCCAAAGAAGAAATGATCTACAGGTGGAGGAAGAACTCCGTTGAGACGGCTAACCAGAAGTCCTGGCGGCTTTATCAGTTTGACTTCATGGGCCTCCGGAACACCACGGAAGTCCTGACCACATCTGCAGGTAGGAAGAAACAGGAAAAGGTATGGCCCTCTGAAAAAAAAACACAATGGAACCTGGCCGTGTGGCTCAGTGGTTGAGCGTCCAGCCATGAACCAGGTCACGGTTCGACTCCTGGTCAGAGCACATGCCCGGGTTGCGGGCTCGATCCCCAGTAGAGGGCGTGCAGGAGGCAGCCGATCAATGATTCTCATTGAGGTTTCTCCCTCTCCCTTCCTCTTTGAAATCAATAACAAATATATTTTTTAAATCAATGGAAAAACTATCCTCAGGTAAGGACTAACACAACTATATATATATACACACACACACACACACACACACACACATATATATATATGATATCCTTCATGTACTTCCTTGTGAGGGAGAATTGTGGGATTTACATGTTGACTTTCTGCGTTAAATAGTCCGCTCACTCAGCTGTTAGCATTTTATTCGACGTGACAGGCCTCACCAGGGCGCTCTAAGTGAGATTTATGTCTTGAGTGCGAAGAGAAATGCACGTCTAAAATAGCTCCAGTAGAAGGAGCTCTAAAAGTGGTGTCTTCTTGGCTGTCTGTCATATTTTGCCTGAGTGCGATCTGGGTCATACATCAGTCTGGGTTTTAGAGTCAGGACTTTAAAAATAGTGGCAGTGTCTTTTTGCTCATAAGATTGAGCGAAGAATCGCTCAGACCCCCTGTGAGTCACCGCCTCTAACGCAGACAGGAGGTGCGGGGGAAAAAACACTGCTCGGTTGAATGAACTGCTCATCCACCAAGAAAATTGAGGTTCTGTGGTGCCAATCACATCTGACTATGTCTGCTCTTTTAAAATCAGATCTCATTAATTATTCCTTCGGAGCAAAATGATTGTCCGCCCGGCCGGTGTGGCTCAGGGGTTGAGCATCCACCTATGGACCAGGAGGTCACGGTTCGATTCCGGTCAAGGGCACAGGCCCGGGTTGCCAGCTCCATCCCCAGTAGGGAGCGTGCAAGAGGCAGCCGATCAGTAATTCTGTCTCATCATCTATGTTTCTGTCTCTCTCTCTCTCCCTCTGCCTTCCTCTCTCTGAAATCAATAAAAACATATTTTTAAAAAAAATATATGTATTTTCTAGTTGCAGATTCCTCCTCCTCTCCCCCTCTCTTTCCCCCTCTGCATTCTCTTGTGAGAAGGAGAGGTTTTAACCCTTTGTTCTCAAGGTAAGGTCTTGCTACGTATGGCCTGCAAAGCTTTTTGGTTTTTAAAAAAAATACCTATTTTTATTGATTTCAGAGAGGAAGGGAGAGGGAGAGAGAGAGAGAAACATCAATGATGAAAGAGAATCATGGATCGGCTGCCTCCTGCACGCCCTCTACTGGGGATTGAGCCTGCAACCCGGGCATGTGTCCTTGACCCGTATGGAACCTGGGACCCTTCAGTCCGCAGGCCAACACTCTATCCACTGAGCCACACTGGCCAGGGCTTTTTGGCTTTAATTCCCCTGCCTCAGTTTTCCTGTTCCACTTGTCCGGGAACTTGCCTAGCTGTTCATTGCCCTACAACAGCAGGTCCAGGGTCAGGTCCTGGGACGTGGCCGGCAGCCCCTCTCACTCTCATCCCCACAGGGGGCGCCGTCATTGGGCAGACCTCGGCGTCAGGGGAGGGGGCCGCTGAGCCTGTCCTCCTGGGGTCGGGAAAGAGCCGGCTTTGCCGAATTTGCGGAGAAGAACGGCGCCTCGTGGGCGCGGGCATGGTCCCTCTGTTTATCTTACTCGGCTCAGGAGCCGGCAATATGTTATTCGGCTCTTTTGGATATTCCTTGGGGGCTGTGTGTATTCCTGCCGGGGTGATTTATTCTCTTTTGTGTTTCTGTCTACTGTTTGTTTTTCCGCTTTGTTCTTTATTGAAATTTTATGTAAAAATTAATAGGCTTTTAATATCACCCATCATTCAGTCACATTTCCCCCGGGAACCGATGTCCCCTGGCATTCCACTGACTTAGGAAAATATTTGTGTTCTCTGATTGCTTGGGTTTAATCATGCCGATTCCTTTGTGCCGGAATGCTAATTTGCTTATTACAATTTGAAATGGCTTTTGGGAAGTGATCTCGAGATTGAAGTTTCTGTCAACCACCCTGAGTATGGCTGCCACGGGCCGCGGCGTCCTGAAGGAGAAGAAACCACATAAACACGGGCACGGGAAGGCGTCCATGGTCGCGCGCGAGAGTGGAGCCTTCGGGACGGTCTCTGCTTTAAACGTTTGGTTTCCGAACCCGAGGAGGCGGCCTGACCAGGGAACCGTGTCTATTGCAGGGGACTACGTCATCATGACCATCTACTTCGAGCTGAGCCGGCGGATGGGGTACTTCACCATTCAGACGTACATCCCCTGCATCCTGACGGTGGTCCTGTCCTGGGTGTCATTCTGGATCAAGAAAGACGCCACACCAGCAAGAACAGCACTAGGTGAGCTTCAGATTCTCTCTCTCTCTCTCTCTCTCTCTCTCTCTCTCTCTCTCTCTCCTCCGTGTCGCGTCATTTAATGCAGAGGATTCAGAAACAGACTTTCCGCGAAGGAGAGCTCACGTGTCACTGACCTCATCTGAGGGCTCCTTGACCTGCGCTTACGTTCGAGAACGGAGCCAAGGGAGATGATTCTTTCTGACAGGAGAATTCCACGTGGGTCCCTTCAGTGACGGTGGGGTTAGGAAGTCAAAAAAATCATTAATGTGGACCCATGTGCATGAAATAGCCCAGGTCAGGCCAACACTCAGTATTATTAATGAACGCATCCATCTGTAAATGAGTTGCATTCTATGCACAGCATGCGTCTAAATGCCAGAGGAGCCAGCAGAGATGAGCAAGGTACGGCTTTGCCCTTAAAGAGCTCACAACGGCCCGGCTGGCGTGGCCCAGGGCTTGAGCATTGACCTATGAACCAGGAGGTCACGGTTCGTTCGATTCTCGGTCGGGGCACATGCCCGGGTTGCGGGCTCCATCCCCCGGTGTGGGGCGTGCAGGAGGCAGCTGATTCATGATTCTCTCTCATCATGGATGTTTCTCTCTCTCTCTCTCTCCCTTCCTCTCTGAAATCAATACAAATATTTTACAAAATAATAATCAAGTAAAAATGAAACACGGTGTTGGGGTGGAGGGATGCCAGCGTGGCTCCTCTTACCCCTGGGCCCTGTCCCCATGCAGGCATCACCACGGTGCTGACCATGACCACGCTCAGCACCATCGCCAGGAACTCGCTGCCCCGCGTGTCCTACGTGACAGCCATGGACCTCTTCGTGACCGTGTGCTTCTTGTTCGTCTTCGCTGCTCTGATGGAGTATGCCACCCTCAACTACTACTCCAGCTGTAGGAAACCAGCCATCGTGAAGAAGAAAACATCAGTGCGTTCCGGGAGCAGAGATTTGGGGGGTGCGGGGGGAAGGCAGTGGGAGGGTAGTTTGAGATAAATGATCTATATTCCTAAGGATCTTATGCAACGTGATATAAATAGCTACCTCAACAAGCTGGTAAGCCCAGCCAGTGTTGCACAGTGATAGGTTGAGGCATCGACCTATGAACCAGGAGGTTACAGTTCGATTCCCGATCAGGGCACATGCCCGGGTTGCAGACTCGATCCTCGCTGTGGGGCGTGCAGGAGGCAGCCGATCTATGATCCTCTTTCATCATTGATGTTTCTGTCTCTCTCCCTCTCCCTTCATTTTTGAAATCAATAAAGATATATTTTTTTAAAACTGTTCTGAACGAGGGGATGTACGATGCAGATGTTCACAACAGTTTTGTAATTACTGTTTCTGCTTCTCTCACAGTTATTGCGTCCAGACTCCTCAAGGTGGATCCATGAGCGGATAACCCTGCAGGCCCCCTCCGTATGTATAGCGTTGCAGGTGCACATGTTTCTGCCAACTCTTACTAAAGTGAGATAGACTGATAGGTTACTGCTTATGTGTTGAAGAACAATGCACATCCTCCCTTCGAAATGTATTTACAAAAAAAAAAACGTGTTTACTTTTGTTGTTGTTCATCCTCACCTAAGGACATTTTTCCCTTTTTTTTTTTTTAAGAGAGAGTGGAAGGGAGAGAGACAGAGGGTGAAACATCTCTGTGAGAGAGACACATCGATTGTTGCCTCCCGCATGCACCCCAAGTGGAGCAGGGATCAAGCCTGTAACCCAGGTATGTGCCTTTGACCAGAATCGAACCCAGGACCCTTCAGTCTGTGGGCCGATGCTCTATCCACTGAGCCAAACCGGTTACGGCAATGTGTTTACTTTTAAAAAATATATATCCCACTTAGAAAATTTGGAAAATAAAGGGAAAAAATGAATCATAATCTTTCTACCCAGGGATTAGTACATAACATCCATATTCCTGTTTTTGGAACTCAAACTTATGAACAAGCTTCTGTGAATAATATTATTATTCTGTCATGAATATTATTTTTAATTTTTTTATTTTTCAAATGTAGTTGACCTTCAAGTATCATTTTATATTAGTTTCAGGTGGATAGCAAAGTGGTTAGACAATTATATAATTTATGAAGTGAACCTCTGATAATTTAAGTACCCACCTGGCAGCATGTATAGTTATTACAATATTATTGACGATATTCGCCAAGCTGTACTTTACATCCCCATGTAACTATTCTGTAACTACCAATTTGTACTTCTTAATCCCTTCCCCTTTTCAACCCGCCTCCCTAAACCCCATCCCACCTTGCAACCATCAATCTGGTCTCTGTATCTCCGTCTCTCTCTGTTCTGTTTGTGCATTTATTTTGTGGTTTTGTGTGTGTTTTTTTTTTAGATTCCAAATATAAATGAAATCATTTGTCTTTCTCTGTCTGACTTATTTCACTTTGCATAACACCCTGTAGGTCAGTGGTCGCCAACCAGGGGTCCGTGAGGTCCGAAAGGTTGGTGACCGCTGCTCTAGGTCCATCCATGCTGTTGTAAATGGTAAGATTTCATCCTTTTTTTTTTAAGACCGAGGATTCCATTGTCTTACAATTATTATTTTTTTCAATTGATTTCAGAGAGAGGAAGGGAGAGGGAGAAAGGGATGGAAACATCCATGAGAGAGAGAATCATCAATCGGCTGCTTGCTGCACGCCCCCTACTGGGGATCGAGCCCGCAACCCGGGCATGTGCGCCGACTGTGACCTCCTGGGCCATAGGGCCACACCGGCCGGGCGTGCACCGAGCTGTTTCTTGCATTCGATGTGCAAAAACTGAATCCTCAGAGACTGAGCTCTCCAGTGCAGCGAGGCGGGGGAGGGGGGCCCGTGCCTGTTGCTCGGTTCCTCTTGCCTGTTCTCGGTGACTGTCGTGCCGTCCTTGTCGCCCCGCAGAACTACTCCCTCCTGGACGTGCGGCCCCCTCCGCCCGCGATGGTCACCTTCAACAACGCCCTGTACTGGCAGGAACTGGAGGAGACCTGCGTCTACGAGTGTCTCGACGGCAAGGACTGTCAGAGTTTCTTCTGCTGCTACGAGGAGTGCAAATCCGGGTCCTGGAGGAAAGGGCGCATCCACATAGACATCGCGGAGCTGGACGCCTACTCCCGCGTCTTCTTCCCCACGTCCTTCCTGCTCTTCAACTTGGTCTACTGGGTCGGGTACCTGTACCTCTGAGCGGTGCCGGCGGTGATGAGGGGCGCGTGCCAGGCTCCCCTCGCTCCCTGCCGCCCTGCCAGGCCCCTAGTGACCCATCGGAGTAGCAAGGAGGGCGCGGCTCGGTTTACCTGCCCTCACACCTCACCCCACCTCTGAGCAGCGTGGGAGAACACGGCAGATATCATTATGTGTTTCACTCTCACACGCGCGTGCACACACACACACACACACACACACACACACACTGGGTTTTCAAGGGACATTCTTGCTAATCCCCTCCTGAACCTGCAGCTTGGTGATGTTCATGAACGGCTCTGGGGATGTTGGAAGTGGCTGCCGATGATCCTTGCAAAGAAATCTCTTCACACACACAAGCAGATGTCTGAGACACTCTCTCAGATCCCGACCGACCGGCCGGCTCTTTCCTTTGTCGCCCTCGGGGGCACGAGCACCCACGGGTGTGGGGTGACTGCAGCTGAGACACACTCCTACTGCCCTCAGCCCCATGCCCCCTCCACCCCTCGGGGCAGCCCGGGTTCAAGTGTGAACGGTGGTGAGTTTCGAACCCGTTTCCCCTCTCTGTGGCCTGTTTTGCTCCGGCACCGCCGCGGTTAGCTGCCATTCCTTGGGGGAGGGGGTACATGCATCATCCCTCGGTTTCCCGTGGAGGAAACAATCAGATTTTCAAAGGTTTTCATGTGGCTGAGGTCAACGATGTTGATGATCGCTGAGCATCAGAAGGTCATCGCTCTATTGCAGACCACTGGGAGTCGGTGGCGTCCAAGCCATGGGGTCTTGGGCTGGTCGGCTTGCGTCCGCGTTGTGCCCGGGGTCCTGTTTGATTGGACCGCTCGGGGCAACCCCAGAGTGTGTGTCCTGCGGCTGCTCTGCTAACACGCTTTGACGATCATCTCCATCTTTCCAAAAAACGCACACACCATGCCCACGCCTTTGTCTCAAACGTGTTTTCCAGCGTGTGAACGAAACGTAGATACAATTTTAAACATTTTCTTAGTGCATATTAACTTCCAAGTCGGATCACTTCAGATGCCAAAAAAAAAGGAAACGGCTGTCTTTAGTGATATATTTTGATGCACAAAAATGCTTTTATACTTTGAAATATGGATACCTAGCAAAAGCCCAAAGAAACGATTCCCTGAAATTATTACTCTTTTGATATTTTTATAACAAAACCAACTCACTTCGTGATGTTAGTTGTTTGTTTGTTTTTGGGTTTTTTTTCCCACTGGATGCCCGTGTGTACTTCCCAAGATGCTTTCAAAGCTCCCACCACGTACAGGAAAACAAAAAAAGAAAGGGCCTATCAGCTGGTTAATTTCCATACTAAAATTTTAGGACCAGAATCTCTGTGCTTCTCGCCCAGAAAGTTGAATTAATTCTATTGGCAGGCATAGGATTTTAGCTTTGTGATCTATTGGACATATTGTTGTGTCTCAGAAGAAAAAAAAAAAGATAAACCATGATGCAGAGCAAATACAGAAAAGTGCTGATTCCACACCATTTATTGGATGCTGACCAGACCCAGGAGGGGATGGGAGGGGAAGAGGCCCGAGAGGTTGACGTAGAGGAATCTGTCTGTTTTGATGAACGTCACTGCCTATCCAGGGAGTGAAAATCTAAGGGTGTAGGATCACCCAGTATCCGAGGGTTAGGTCTGTGGTGTGAGGCACTCAAGCCCCATAGACCACAAGCCAGTTGGCTTCTACTTAGCAAATCCAGTTTTAAAAGTAAGTTGATAAATGTTTGCAGAGGAACTGGCGGGAGCTCTTGGCTTCGATGAAAATTCTGCTCTTTTGAGAATTTCACCCGTCGGTGGATCCACCACCTCCCACGCCCCGGTGGCCGGCGGGACGTCAGCATGTCCCACCAGAGCTCCGAGTACCCAGGGAAGGCGGGGCCGAGGCCGGTCCTCTTCCAACACAGCTGCCAATGTCACGGATTTATCATTCCTCACAGTGTGAAGGGTTTCAACCTATTGCACCTTCAAAGAAGTTCTGGAGGGAATGGAATTTTCCAGTGAAACTCTTCTTGGGAGGAAAAGAGCCGACAGCATTTTTTTATCACATAGACCTGACCCAATTTTACCTTAAAAAAAATTGTTTTTACGGATGCCTCTCCTTTCAAAGCCACGCAAGACCCGGGCGTTGTTGGCGATGCTCATGAAATTATGCTCATTGGCCGTGCAGACCAATAACCTCCGTTTGCGCCCCCCAGCCTGCCGGTTCACACACGGTTCCTTTTCCATGAAGGAGCGCCTTCGTCTCAACAGTGTCCAATCGACGTTCACGCGTTGAGCATGAACTAGATTCCTGCACCGACAGCAATGCACGCTCCGGGCTGACTTCAAGGGGCTGACCCACCCCGGGGACCATGCCCCTGCCTGGTCCTCAGCAGGCTTCCCACTCGAGTTCTCCTTACCCATCTCCACGCCCGAGACATGGAGGTCTTCAGTCCACGGTGGAGGAGAATGGCGTGCAGCTAAGACGGGGGTGGAGCTGGGGAGCGTGCCTGTTCGTGTCAGGGTGTGCGCGTTCACCTTCTGGAGGGCACGGGAGAGCGTGAGGAACGCAAGTCCCTGGTGGAAGGGCCATCCTTTGGCACCCGCGTGGTCAGTAGGATACGCGTGGGGCCCACGGTGATGCTGTTCCACACAGACCCGACACCCTTCCAGCCCACGGCTCGCTTCGCGTGGGGGATCGGGAAACGTTTTCGGGTGGCCGTGCGGCCGCTCGGGGAAGGTGTCGGGGTGGCCTCCCCCCAGAGGGGCTCCCGGTGGTCCTCGCTCGCAGAAGGACCCTCCGTTGAGGAGGCGCCTGTTCTGCGTTTTGACAAGGGTTTCTCCCTCCTGACCACTGTGGTTTCCACGTACATCTGTGACTGTCTCTTTTTTAAGTTGCCTCCGGGCCGAGAGGGAGAGAGAGGAAAGGGCATTTCGCACGAATGCCATGTTAGCAAAATGCCCTTCAGAGCTGAGAAAGTTCCACTTTCTGCCCAGTCTCAATACCAAGGACCAGAAGACGGTCAGATGCTAAGACAAGATCACGCTACTCTTACTCTGAACCCAGCAAATACTGCCCCCAGTTAACCCAACATATGCCTTAAAGAGAACACATTCGGCTCAAATAGTACACGTCCTGTAGAAGTTCTACGCCCCACGGACACCTGTGTTTCATACCAGGTTTTATGTCTTATTTGCAAGAGGATCGAGACAAGATTTCATTGCCACCGTCATCACCATCACCACCACCATCATCATCATTACCATCTTCATCACCACCATCTTCACCATCACCATCACCACCATCTTCATCACCATCCATCTTCACCATCACCACCATCCATCTTCACCATCAGCGGCAGCAGCACCATCATCATCATGATCCGTATCCTTTTCGTGGTCCATCCTATTCCGTAACTATTGAGTCAGCAGAAAGGCTTCATGTCCTTTCCCAACCATAAAAAAAATAAAAAAAAATTAGGACTTACATGAAGGAGAAAATGGAACTTACATCTTCATTTAAATGTTAACTACAAAAATAACAGTTCAGAGTTTTGCTGGCCTACTACATTTCCAGACTGGTCCTGGTCCCAGAGGTCCTGGCTGTTGACCTGGCCTCAACCAGAATTTGGAATTATTCACATGGAACGTCCCACCTCATTGGCGATTGTTGGTTACTTCTGGTTGTTGTTGTTTTGGTTTTACCTCTCTTGGCTTTTTTATTCCTTTTCATAAATATAACATTTGAATTGGCCAAGAACGATCTATTTTTCCCCCGAAAATGGATGCATCTGTGGACACTGCCGATTTCATTAGCCCAAAAGGACAATCGGTATGCTTCTTCTTATACAATCTTGAGTTTAGGTTTGGATTCCCCCTAATTTATCTTGGAATTTTTACTTCTAGATAGAAATAGACACAGGCATACTATATCGGTGAAGTTTACAGTGTTTGTTATCTTTGTTTAGAATAACTGTTAACACATTTTTAAAAGACTACTCCCACTCATCCTGACCCTCAGAATGACTCATTTTTGTGCTGGTGAACAATGTTTACATTCGTTTGTTTGTACAGCCATGATCTGTGTTTCTTTCCGAGCAGCTCCCAGACTGAGCTCCAGGTTTACTCCTCGTGAATGCGTTCTGTTCGTGGAAGATTCTAGGAGAGTAGCGGTTTTCCGGGAGTGGGCCTGGGTTGTCTTGTGTTTACATGCGGTGATGTGTACTTGTGTGTGTGTGTACAGTGGTAAAAATGGAACCAACTCTTCACATGCGTATTACTCCTCCCACCCCACCCCACCTGTAGCTGAAACAAGTAGAAAGGAGCCCAGTTTCCTAGTGATCGCCGGTTAGCTTCCTAAGCCTTCGGTTAGAAAGACAGAGCCCGGCCCCTGTGGCTCTGCATTTGAGCTTCTACCCAGGAACCAGGAGGTCACCTGTTCCATGACCCCGTGGTTGTGGGCTCGATGCCCAGCAGGGGGCATGCAGGAGGCAGCTGATGGGTGATGCTCACTCATCATTGATGCTTCTACCCCTCTCTCCCTTCCTCTCTCTGAAATCAAAAGAGCATATTTAAAAAAAAGGAGGGAAAGAGAGAGAGAGATTGACAATCTATATATTTCCCAGAAATGGGGGGAGGACCAGGATGGAGCTTAAATACCTGATGAGAAATTGATCTGCAATCAAACCCGGATGCCTGTTGAGTGAGTTCACCTCAGGCACTTCCTTGGATCTTCTTGTGCATCATGGTTTCCTCTGATAAGCTCAGAGCAGTTCTCACGATGTAGGTGGTGGAGAGAGCCATCGCCACCCTCAATTAGGCCGCAACTTTCCCGAACTAGGTGGGAAAGCCTCGGGTTGTGTGGGCACCGTGGGCATCACCCACACTGTGAGGCCTGCCCTCTCTGCGAAGCAGGCCTGGGAGGGGCCCTGGGAGATGGCACAGGCAGGAAGGGAGCGCGGGGTCCCCTCGCTGCTGCCTCCCCGGGAAACCTTCCTGC